CGGTTGGCACTATCAAAATTTAGACGAAACCCTTCTCCACAAAATTTAGATATCCTAAAATATAAAATTCATATAGCGCAGAAATCAATACGAACAGCGAAAAACAGCGCAAGAATTCTGTTCTACAGTTGATCAATCGGCCTCTCCAAATGACTTGTGGCGTAAAATGAAATGGTTGAAGGGCTATAGGGCTCACAACCCATTTATTGATAAAGATTTAGCTTCAGAGTTGATTAATACTTTGACATCTGATTTTGTTTCCCCCATGAAACCCGTTGTTCTATCTAAGAACCAAAAACTAGAAATGAAAATCTCATTACAAGAATTAGAAAAGAGTATTCGACCAACTGACACGTCCCCAGGGGTGGACAATATTTCATACTCAATGGTTAAAAATCTCCCAAATAATGGAAAGTATGTATTGCTTGATCTGTATAGCAAGTTTTTGTCAAGTGGTTTTGTCCCTAATCAATGGAGAGATATATTAATTGTGCCAATCCCTAAACCAGAGAGAGATAATAGTTTGGTGTCAGCATTACGACCCATTTCCATGATCTCGTGTATGTGTAAAATTTTTCACACTATCATAAAAAATAGATTAGAGTGGTATATTGAAAAAAATAACATTTTATCGAATAACACAATAGGTTTTAGAAGAGGTCGTTCAACGTTAAATAACCTTTCTAATTTGGTCTCTGAAATTCAGTTAGGCTTAACAGATAGAATAGCTACAATTGGTTGTTTCATAGATATAGATAACGCATACAATAATGTGGATATTTCTAGTGTAATTCTGGCTATGGATCGTTACGGTATAGGTTCAACTATATGTAATTACCTATGGAATTTTCTCAGACAAAGATCATTAAAAATACAAGTTGACAATGCCATAATTTGCCGAAATACAGGTCGGGGATTGGCTCAGGGGGATCCACTGTCACCATTGTTATTCAACATACTTACTGCACATATATGCAAAGAGGTACAAAATGTTCGTATATCACAATATGCAGATGACTTTGTTTTATATATAGGGCGAAAAAATTTATTGGAAGCAGTTGAGAATCTGCAGGAGGCGTTAGATTTAGTAAGTTCACTACTTTTCAACATAGGTCTCAAAGTATCTCCTATAAAAAGTAAAGTGTGTGTGTTCTCCTGTGGGTTTAAACGTACGTTACTTGATTTAAAAATTAATGATTTTTCCTTACAAGTGGTTGATAATATAAAATATTTAGGTTTGTGGTTGGATCGTGGTCTTAGATGGGGAAGACACATAAATGAACTTGCAGAAAAAACGCTTAAGTTTTTAAATATTCTTAAATGTCTGTGTGGACCCAGGTGGGGTCTTCACCCATCACATTTGCGTCGTTTGTATATCGCAATCATAAGAAGCAGAATTGATTATGCTTGTTTCCTCTATGATAGTAGTTGTGTAACGCACCTTAAAAAATTAGAACGCGTGCAAAATCAAGCTATGAGAGTTATGGGTGGATTTTTAAGAAGCACGCCAATACATGTGATGGAGAATGAACTTTGTATTGAGCCGCTACATATACGAAGGTATTATCTGGCGGGGAAATTCTGGCTTAAAACTAAATCACTTTCGCATAATGAATTAATTGTAATATTAGATAAGTTAGATGAATATTTTGTGACTCATCCATTGCGTAAGAAAAAGAAACCTCTGTTGGCAGTCGTACATAATTCTCTTAAAGATTCTGATATTCATATCTCAACGCAACTTGAAATGTTCTCCTTGGATACCTGGGTTAGCAATGTGGATCTTCGCGGCATTGTATTTCCTCTTATTGAAACAATTGATAAAGCTAAACACGGTTATAACAATGTGGTTCTGAGACAAATATGTTTACAGTTTATTGATGATAAATATTTCATCATCATCATCATCATTACAGCCCTTCACAAGTCCACTGCTGAACATAGGCCTCCCCCAAAGAATGCCACAAAACACGGTCCTGAGCCACCTGCATCCATCGACTTCCTGCATGTCTTACCAGGTCGTCACTCCATCTCGTGGGGGGACGCCCTACACTTCGCCTACCGGTACGAGGCTGCCACTCGAGAACCTTTCTTCCCCATCGGTTGTCGGTTCTTCGAGCTATATGGCCGGCCCACTGCCACTTCAGCTTACTAATCCGTTGGGCTATGTCGGTCACTCTGGTTCTACTGCGGATATCCTCATTCCGAAGTTTATCACGCAGAGAAACTCCGAGCATAGCCCTCTCCATAGCTCGCAGAGCGACCTTGAGCTTCCTCATACGGCCAGCAGTGAAGGACCACGTCTCAGTTCCGTAAGTCATCACTGGCAACACGCACTGGTTGTACAATTTCGTTTTAAGGTTTTGAGGTATGTCTGACGAGAAGATGTGTCGTAGCTTCCCGAACGCTGCCCAGCCGAGTTGAATCCGTCGATTGACCTCTCGGTCGAAGTTGGACTTACCCAGTCGGACTATTTGTCCCAGGTAAACATACTCGTCAACAACTTCGAGCTTAGTGTTCCCAACAACTACCGGCATAGGTGTGACATGGACATTAAACATGATCTTAGTTTTGTCCATGTTCATCTTAAGACCTATCCGTTGGGAAACACTATTGAGGTCATTGAGCATAGTGCTTAGGTCCTCCAGCGATTCTGCCATAAGGACTATATCGTCGGCAAATCGAAGGTGAGTGATGTACTCGCCATTGATGTTGATACCGTATCCTTTCCAGTCCAGAAGCTTGAAAACGTCTTCCAATGCAGCGGTGAAGAGTTTCGGGGATATGACGTCACCCTGTCTTACACCTCTCTGCAATTGGATAGGTTTCGTACTCTGGTTCTGTACTCGGATAGCCATCGTAGCCCTACTGTACAAGCACTTCAACACTTCGATATACCGACAGTCAACTTGGCACCGCTGAAGGGACTGCAGCACCGCCCAAATTTCGACGGAATCAAAGGCTTTCTCATAGTCCACATACGCCAGACATAGTGGCAAATTGTACTCTTCGGACTTCTGTACAACTTGCCGAAGGGTATGTATGTGGTCTATGGTGCTAAAGCCCTTTCGGAAACCGGCTTGTTCGGGAGGCTGGAAGTCGTCAAGTCTGCGCGCGAGACGATTCGTAATGACTCTCGAAAACAGCACGTAGACGCGGCTCAGAAGGGAAATCGGTCTGTAGTTCTTCAAGAGAGCGTTGTCACCTTTCTTGAAGAACAAGACCACCGCACTTCTGCTCCACGCCTCCGGTGTAATGCCACCATGGAGGACGGAATTAAAGAGCTTCTGAAGGACTTCAAGTACCGGTCTTCCACCCGCTTTCAGAAGCTCCGCTGTAATTCCATCCTCGCCTGGGGCCTTACCGTTTTTAAGGTGCTGGAGAGCCATCCTAATCTCGCTCAGACTGACATCCGGGATATCTTCGGAATAGTGTCGGATGAGACTCGCTCTTGGATCGTTACTCACACTTGCGTGTGGCTCCAACGATGATGTGTACAGCTGCCCATAGAACCTCTCAATCTCACTCAAAATCTCAGGTGTCCCGGAAACGATGCTGCCACACTCTGTCTTCAGCTTTGACAGTTGGCTCTTTCTGGCAGACAGATCTCTGGCAAAGACTTTGGAGCCTTGGTTCCGCTCGATCGCTTCTTCAATACGAGCTGTATTGAAGTTGCGTAAGTCCCGCCGCATGCATTTGGAGATCTGTCTGTTCAGATGCCTGTATGCTGTCAAGTCTGTTGAAGAATGTAGCTTCATCTCCCGTCTAACAGCCATGAGATTAAGAGTGTGATCGGAGAGTTTTTGTGTTCTTCTGCGGCGGGTCTTGCAGAACTTAGCTCCAACCGCATGGACAGTTTCCACGAGCTTGTCATTCATATCGTCCACTTCATTGCAGTCTTCTAGGCACTGAAAACGGTTTTGTAACTCGAGCTGAAAGGTTTCGGGACTTTGAAACAGAGCACGAGGGGGACGGAGCGTTGACTTCATTAGACGAGACCTCTCCAACTTAACGTTTAGGTTCAGTGTGCCTCTAACCATTCGGTGATCGCTACCAGTTTTCACCCTCGCGATCACGGAGACATCACTGAACAGTTGTCGTCTGGTCGTCATAATGAAGTCAATCTCATTTTTTGTGGAACCGTCGGGGCTCGACCAGGTCCACTTCCTGTGGGGCCGCTTCTGGAAGAAAGAGTTCATCATAAAGAGTCCCTCTTTCTCCATGAAGTCGGCCAGCTGCTGGCCCCTTGGGTTCCGTTGCCCTATTCCAAATTTCCCTACTTTCAGCTCACCGTTCTGTCTTGTGCCTAGTTTTGCATTGAAGTCTCCCATTAACACCGTATATTGGGTTTTGGAGGAATGCATGGCTCTAGAGATATCCTCATACATTTCCTCCACCTCCCCATCGGGGTGTGCCGAGGTTGGTGCGTAAACCTGTATGACCTTCAGCGAATACCGTTTGGTGATTCTGAGTATAAGGTACGCAACCCTCGTCGACACACTCCCGATTTTTACAACGTTGTTAACGAGAGACTTGTGGACGATAAATCCGACACCTCCTTGGGACAGATGGTCGCCCTCCCGGTGATAGAGCAAGTTGCCGGATTCGAGGATTACCGTGTCCTCCCCCTCTCTTCGGACTTCAGATAATCCTATAATATGCCAGCGCAACTTGTCTATCTCTTCTTCCAGCTCCACGATCTTCTCGTCAGTCCTCAGGGTGCGTGCGTTGTACGTTGCCAGGTCGAGTCGTCTAAGGTGGCAACCGAACCTCCACCGGAGATTCTTAGCACCCCCTGCCCCGCCGTTACCATGGTCGCCACCGTAGCCAGGAATAGCGGGGCCGCCGGGGACTGGGGGCCGTTTTTTTGTTGCTCTCATCATTGGGGGGTGTTTGCCATAGTTGCCACGCTTGGCGAGCGGGTTGGCAACCGCAGTTTTTTTATTGTCATTTGGCTATTATCAGGAAGATGCTGCTGCCCATCTCCTGGCTGTTTCCCTTTGTCGCCTTTTACGACACCCACGGGAGGATATGGGGTAGTGGATATTCTTGACCGCCACTACACGGCAATGACCGCCACTACACGGCAACTTTTACAATCTTATAAAATTTATACCGATGCATCTAGCGATAATGATATTAACATAGGAGCTGCATTTTTTGACCCTCAGTTAAACATATCAATGAAATTAAAAATTAATTCTAAAGTTTCAATAATGTGTGCTGAGCTAATAGCTATTTCAGAAGCTGTATCGTACATTGCATCACTCAATCACAAATATCAATATGTTATTTTGACAGACTCTAAGAGTGCTCTGCAACACTTGGCTCGATGTACTTCGAATTTTCGAGGAACACCGATAGCCTACAGTATTTTGAAGTCTATTGATAGTTTAACCAAAAAAAATGTAACTGTTGTGTTACAATGGATCCCTGCTCATATTGGCCTAGTAGGTAATGAAGTGGTGGATAGATTAGCGAAGGAAGCTTCCTCTGACGGTATTTTACGGCGTTATTTACCTTTTTTCGCGGACTTTCTATACAAAGTAAAAGAAAGATGTGACACTTTGTGGAAGGAATACTTTAATGAGAGATCTTTAACAAAAGCAATATGGTATAAAACTATTCAACCAAATCTCTCCCGGTCTTCATGGGTGGATAAGGCTAATATGGGCAGGACCGATATCGTTACAGCTCTAAGGTTGCGATCGGGACACATACCAATGAACAGCTTCGCATTTTTGATGGGAAAAGTCGAATCCCCTAACTGTGTAGAATGTGGCCAAATAGAAGATGTAGTGCACATTTTGGTGGAGTGTGTTCGTATCGAAGCCGAAAGAGTAAATTTTTGCAATAAATATAATGTAAATAGATTAGATATCGGATTTTGTAACAGTATTCTGGCTTCACCATTGTCTGAGGAAGCCAGAATTTTGTACAAAATAGTCCAAGTTGGACTTAAAAGAAGATAAAAAAAATGTAAATACAATGAGGGTGGCATTATAATAGTTTTATAAAACCCTCTTTAAAAAATAAAGATAAAAAAAAAAAAAAAAAAAAAAATATCCCACTAATATTATAAATGTGAAAGTTTCTGAGGAACTACTAAATGGATTTTAATAAAACTACAGTAATATAGCTCATGCATCAGAATAACACATAAGCTAAAATTCATAAAAATATTGTGTAAATTGGCCAAAATATAACGAAAAATGTTATGTAAGTCTGAAAAACTGTCATCTGCGAGCTATTTTGACGTGAACACGTTTCACGCAAAAATCTGTGAACCGATTTGGATGGGATCTTCACTGGTAGATAGCTGATGTTATATATGTAAGGAGTAACTTAGGCTACATTTATTTTAGGGTTCCGCGCATAAAAATGCCACGCGGGCAAAGTCGCGGGGAACAGCTAGTATTGAATAAATGTTCTTAAATTACGATGAATAAATAACGCCACATTAATAGATTCTATCTTAGCGATCGCTAGTAAAAAGTAAAGACGCGCGTAGTTTCCCTGCGGACTAATATCAAATAGCAAATCTTTGGTTTTCTTCACTCGCCATGTAAAACACGACAGCTTCTTGTGTAATAATATAGTCCCGCTGTAGCGATTGTGACTGGAGCTCAAACCCTGACCTGAGTTACAGTAAATTATCCAACATATCGTATTGAGAAGAAGGAATTTAAAGGTTTTTCGGGCCTAACTATAGTACTGATTGGAATGAATTGAATGGAATGATTTTTTATTCAATATTGATTATTGCATAATACTTATTGAAAGTTTTTTTTTTACCACTGGTTCGGGAAATACCTCTGTACTGGGAAGAACCAGCAAGAAACTCAGCTGGACATTTTTTAAACATATTTCACTTAACCATAATTTTGTTTATACAATTTTAAATGAATTTTCATAGAACCAGCATGGTCGCGATCACCTTATTCGCAGGGGTTATTTTCATTCATGTATTCCTTGATATCCTAATAACCCCTTTTGTACAGTTTTTCTTTACTAAAACTTTTAATCTTGTTTATGGACAAACTTTTGCAATGTATAAGATTTTGTTGTAAAAGCGTATACATTGCCCCATAAATGAATTACTGATTCTGTGGAGTCTAGTAACTGGCATTACAAGTTTATGTTTGTTCCTAGTGTTTAAGGTATGAACATCCTTATTCTTATTATATATTGCGATGCCAAAGTTAATATGTTTATTTGTTTAAATTTTTCTTGACTCTTTACAATTTAGGTTATAAATGGCCAGTACGGCTCTCTTTTTTTTCCTTCTCTTCATTTTCGCGTAGATTATATTAAAAGCAATAAAATTCATAACGATTAGTTTCTTTCAACGATTATGTTAGTTTGCGATTGGTTTCTACGCGAGAACGTAAAAACGAAGCTAAATTCTGTCAATAATATTCATTGTTTGGTATCATCATCATTACAGTCAATCACAAACTAGTGTTGAATATAGATTACCTCCTAGGAATGCCAGCGCAGTCCTAAGTCACTTGCATCAATCAACTGCACCTGTTACTACATCGTCACTCCTTGTTGTGGAGGCCGACCACTTTGCTGTACAAGGCTTCCACTTGAGACATTTATGATCCATCGATTGTCGGTTCTTTTTCTTTATAGCATAAGGGTGACAAACGAGCACACAGTCTACCTGATAGTAAGTAGTTGCTGTGGCCCATATACTACTAAATCTATTACCGACTACGAATCAAAATACAAATGCGTTATCACCCGTGAGGAATAAGATTGAATGCCTCGTTTTTAGTAAAAGGGGTCTCCGGTTCTCTGCACTCACCAAACGAAACACAGCAGCGATAAGCTGCTATTTTACGCTGGTATTTTGTAAGAGCGCGGTCCTTCCCCGGTCGAGCCGACTCATTCGTGCTACAACTATACTACTAATATAGCTGCAGCATGGCTCTACCACGTATAAAATATGCTTTTAAACTATTGACGAAAAAGTGGGGTGTTATTCACTTGACATCAATATAAATTATTAAAAATAACTCAAAAACTATTGGTCTGTCCTTGATTTATGTTATATATGGGACCACACGAGAGGTATCAGCTTTCATATAAAAAAAGAATCATCGAAATCGGTTCACCCAGTAAAAAGTTATGAGGTAACACACATAAAAAAAATTCAGTCGAATTGAGTACCGCCTCCGTTTTGGAAGTCGGCAGAAAATTAAAAATTTTGTACAACCGACTTCAATATAAATTATTAAAAATAACTCAAAAACTATTGGTCTGACCTTGATCAAATTCATATGGGACCACATGTGAAGCACCAGCTATCATATAAAAAAAAATCATCGAAATCGGTTCACCCAGTAAAAAGTTATGAGATAACACACAAAAAAAACATACAGTCGAGTAACGTCTCTTTTTTGAAGTCGGTAGACAATAACTGAAAAGAAGCGAATGAATATTTGTTCTACTAATTCGCCATTGATTGCTCTATGTACATATGTTTATTTTGTTTTCATTACATACAATTTTGAAAGACTACATTAAAACGGGAAGATCGGTGGAAATGAGATGTTTATAATATTGTGGAAATTTCCTGATGATCGTAGACTTAGTGATGTTTTGTGTATATTTTTTTATTGAATAGGGTTACCAAACGAGCGCACAGTTTACCTGATGGTAAATCAATGCTGTGGCTGATAGATGTCTACATCTATTCTGGATTAAGAATCAAAATACAGATGCATTGTCAAGCTTAATGACTATTATGGAACGCCTAGTTTTCAACAGAAAGGTTCTCTAGTACACAACACTCACTACATGATACAAAGCAGCATTAAGTTACTATTTCACGCCGGTATTCTGTGAAAGAGTAATATAGCTGCAGCGTGGCTCTACTACGTAAATTCTCTACATAGTTTAAAACAAAGTCGCTTCCCGCCGTCTGTACGCTTAGATCTTTTAAAAAAATGCAACAAATTTTAATGGGGCTTTCATAAATTGATATAATGATTAAGCTGGCAGATTTATATGTATAAAGCATGTATATTATATATTATATAATTCTTCTGTCCGTGTGTATGTGTATGAACTCCTCCTAAACGGCTAGACCGATTTAGATGTAATTTTGTATGGGTGATAAATTTGATTAGAAAATGGTTTTGATTGTATGGTCTTTGATTGTTGAAGTGGACCCGGTAAGTGACGTAGTTGTCGAGATCCAGAAATCAACCGTGCGAAACCGGGGAGGATCGCTAGTTTTCTTTTATAAAACTAACGTGACATACGACGAAAAACAAAACGACTTACAGTTTACTTGATGATGAGTGGATACTGCAGCTCATAGACACCTGCAGCTAACTTCACATAGAAGGCTACAGATGCCTTGTCATTTTCACATCTAAGGACTATGTTGTTTTAAGGACTTTGACTGTTTTTAATGACTAATAAGAGATAAACAATCATAATGATTTGTTATATTTACGCGAAGACTACACATTAAATGAAAGTAATTAATTCCCGACGTTTCGGATGCTTTACAGCATCCTCAATAAAGAATCAAAAAGCAGATGCGTCGTCACCCGTGAGGAATAAGATGGAATGCATCTTTTCCAGTAAAACGGGTCTCCGGTTCTCTACACTCACCATACGAAACACAGCAGTGTCAAGCTGCCATTTTAATTGACGGATTTAAAAAGTTAAATTAAACGCGATAAAATCCGTGAAAATAAGTTTCATTTAATAAACAATCGTGTAGTGGCGGTGTAAGAATATCCACTAAGACAGAGGCAAACAAACAAACTAGGCGATAGGCGGTGCTAATACTAACTAGAAAATTAAAATTATAATCCTGCCTGCCAAGCGAAGCAACTGTGGCAAACATCTCCCTTATGAGGCAAACTATGCGGAGGCCTATCTTCAGCAGTGGACTTTGGTACTCTGTTATTAATAAATGAATTAATAGCTTAGTGTTTGGGCGCTTACGTGCAAACGGGTTCCCGTCTTTTTTATAGAATAAGGGTGACAAGCGGGCACACAGTCCACCTGATGGTATAATGGCTGTGGCTCATAGACATCTATCCTCGATTAATAATCAAAATGCAGATGCGTTGTCACCCCTGAGAGCTGAGACGGTATGCCCCGGATCCAGTAAAAAGGGTCTCCGGTTCTCTATACTCACCATACGAAACACAGCAGCATTAAGTTGCTATTTCACTTTGGTATTCTATTTAGATACATTTAAAAATAATTTAGCGGTTAGAATCATTAATTTCGTTGCTTTGTTTATAAATGGCAATCCAGTTCGGATAAACGTAATCATGTAAGAATTAAAAAGCTTAACGATTGGCCGATGTTGATGTGAGCGTTGCCAACAATCAATAAGTGCAACTTAAGAGACGTAAAACTAATTTAAGTTTTGGCAGTAACTAACGAGCTACGGGTCAACACGTCACGTGATGGGCGTATATTTTTAAATTAAAAACTAGAACGCGTTCGGAAACGTTCAATAAACATGTAACACGCGCATTGACATTAGCATCGTATTGTTAGTCACGTTTCCGAACAGATGTTACTAATAAAATCTGTGTTTAACGGTTGATAATTTTGAAAATAGAACAATTGTCTTAAAAAAAGAAAACAAAATCAAATTATAAACGAAAATCTTCATTCATTTCACTGATTGACATCAGTGAAATGAATGAAGATTTTCGTTTATAATTTGTTTTGGTTTGATTTGGAATTTGTTATGCTATTTCACAACTGACCTAGTTGCTGGTATGTCGGGTTAGTAATTTTTTATAAAAGATAAGGCAAAAAGCATGTGGCTCACCACGACTCAACACTAAAACAGATGCACATCCCTTGCCGGTCTTTGAAAAATAAGTAGGCTCTTTTCTTGAAGATTCTTTGGTCGTACATGTCCGGATAAATCACTGGTAGTAAATGATTTCTCAAAGAAGTCGCATGAGAAGAAAACTTCTGG